CAAGTAGTAAGTGCTCTAAACATGTAAACATTTATTTAAAACAGAACGGTAATATTTATACTATCAACAATGTATGTTTATAAAACTGCTGTAAACTAGTAAAAAAGAATCAGGTGCAAAACAGGAATATTTACAAAGGTAACAAATGGGTTTTCATGATTTCTCTGTCTTAGGCTCTTCTCAATTTAGTCCCAAGTATTTTAAAACATTTTCACAATGTCCGTTACTACATGATTCCCAGGCCCAAGACGCTCCACTCCATAGTCCCAGTGCACCTAGGCGAAAATCCGGTCAATGTGGCCGGGGATTGACGAGAAATCCTCGTAGGAGAACTCCTCGTAGGTCTCGTGGAGGTAGATCTCAAGCCTGTTGATCAGGTTCCGGGGTAGGGCGATCTTACTGGGCCCTCCGTGGTAGCAGACATGTCCCCTCCACGCTACAATCAGGTACTCGGGGATCATGGCCCGACATAGCATGGCGGCATACGGCCCCGGTTTCTGCATGCTTTCCCGCAGCATGCGTTCTCTCTGGGTGTCCGGGATCCTCAGGAGGGTGATGTCGCTCATGACGCCCTGCTTTGAATTAGGGAGGGGAATGTTAGTATTGGGACTGCTTTACAGCCACGCGGTGGAGGGAGAGGGGCAGCATACAGGGATCTTTCCCTGGGACAGCCGCGAGGGGGTGGGACAGGGGCAGAGTTGATGCTGTCCTGATTGCTGGCAGCAGAGACTGGCATTGCTTTCAATGTGAAAGGAGGCCAGTGCTACTGCTGGAGTTTTAAGCAGCCACAAGTCTCCGGCTTACCATGATTGCCCGCTCCAGAAGTTCTGGTCTCCAGCCACAGTTCTCTGAACAGTCCAAGACCTCCGCAAGTCCACAGGCACTGAAGGCGACGGCCGAAAATTCGACCTTGTCCTGAGTGCGCATGTGAGAGGTGCAGTGCATGGTCTTGTTCACAGAGAAAGACTAGGTTCTTTGTATACAATTTCATTTATCTGTCTCAGGAATTCACTCCCTTTTTACAATTCACACAGACACATCTGCGACTGTCTCCCAACCCAGCCTGTCAGCACACTCCCAGAGGCTAGCGCAGATTAGGCGGAGGAAGAAGAAGACGCGTGAAGACATGTTCTCAGAACTAATGGGATGCTCCCGAGCCCAGGCAGCCCAGCAGACACAGTGGAGGGAGAACTTGTCACAAATGCACCGAGCAGTCATGGAACGGGAGGAGAGGTGGCGTCAGGAGGACCAGCAGGCTACTGAAAAGCTGCTTGGACTAATGAGGGAGCAAACGGACACGCTCCGGCGCCTTGTGGATGTTCTGCAAGACCGGAGGCAGGAGGACAGAGCCCCGCTGCAGTCTATCTGTAACCGCCCTCACCCGCCACCAAGTCCCACACCACCCTCACCCAAAGTCCAAAGAAGGAGGGGCGGCAAGGGCCATTAAAACTTTCAGTCAACCCCTGCAGACTGCTCTAGCACTAGAAGGCTGACATTCCCCAAAATTTCATAAGTCCTTTCCTACCCACCTCACACAAGCCCCCGTCCAAGTTTCACCCCCCACGTTTCATGTCTGGTTCACAATAAAATGTTTGTTTCTGTCCATTACTGTTTCAGTCAGGTTCTTTTGAGGGAGAGTCTGTCTGGAGGGGGGGAAGGGTCTTGGTAATTGGACAGGACAGTGACCTTTAGCAGGGTACAGAGGCGGTGTCAGGTCCAGCATCAGGACACATACACAGTGCAGTCACTGGTTACCCTGGTCAGTCTGGGAGGTGTTTTTCATGTTCTGGGGGGGGGTTGCTCTGTGAGTTTGTGGCAGGGGAGGGCAGTTACAGATCTTATGCAGCGGTCCTTATCCTGGCTTACAGATCCATGCAGCAGGGGATCTGTAACCTACCCCCCCTGCCAGAAAGTCACATAGCCGACACATACACACAGTCCCCCCCAGGAGTGCTGGCAGGCTCCATTGAAATAACCAGTCCACCAGTGCGGAGCCTGTCATTCCGGGAGTTTAGAAGCATCATTTGCATCAGAACACTGAACCCGCCCCCCACCACAGTCTGCGTCCCCGGTTTTAAATATTCCCGCGAAAACAGCAATACAGACAACGGTGTTCATTAACAAAATCGAAATGATTTTATTTTTTGGGAAGGGGAAGGGGGTGAAGGGGGTATGTAACTGGAGAGGATAGTCAAAATGAACTGGGTAAAGAAACGGGGGCAGGTTCAGCTTTTCTGTCCACAAACTGAAAAGTCACAGGTTGCCCTGCTCACTCAGGAACCTAGCTTTCAAAGCCTCCCGGATGCACAGGGCGTCCCGCTGGGATCTTCTAATGGCCCAGCTGTCTGGCTGGACGTAATCAGCAGCCAGGCTATTTGCCTCTAGCTCCCACCCCGCCATAAAGGTCTCCCCCTTGCTCTCACACAGATTGTGGAGCACACAGCAAGCTGCAATAACGATGGGGATATTGGTTTCACTGAGATCACAGCGAGTGAGTAAGCTTCTCCATCTCCCTTTGAGACGGCCAAAAGCACACTCCACTACCATTCTGCACTTGCTCAGCCGGTAGTCGAACAGTTCTTTTTCTGTGTCCAGGGCGCCAGTATAGGGCTTCATGAGCCAGGGCATTAGCGGGTAGGCTGGGTCCCCGAGGATGACTGTAGGCATCTCCACATCCCCAAGAGTTATTTTGTGGTCTGGGAAGTAAATACCTTCCTGCAGCCGTCTAAACAGACCAGAGTTCCTGAACACGCGAGCGTCATGAACCTTGCCCGGCCATCCGACGTAGATGTTTGTAAACCGTCCCCGATGGTCCACCAGTGCTTGCAGCACCATTGAAAAGTAGCCCTTTCTATTGATGTACTGGCTGGCCTGGTGGTCCGGTCCCAGGATAGGGATGTGAGTCCCATCGATAGCCCCACCGCAGTTTGGGAATCCCATCGCGGCAAAGCCATCTATGATGACCTGCGCGTTTCCCAGGGTCACTACCTTTGGGAGCAGTACCTTCACGATTGCCTTGGCTACTTGCATGACAACAACCCCCACGGTAGATTTGCCCACACCAAAGTGGTTCGCAACCGACCGGTAGCTGTCCGGCGTTGCAAGCTTCCAGAGGGCTATGGCCACTCGCTTCTCAACTGTGAGGGCTGCTCTCATCCTGGTATTCTGGCGCTTCAGGGCAGGGGACAGCAACTCACAAAGTTCAAGGAAAGTCCCCTTCCGCATGCGAAAGTTTCGCAGCCACTGGGATTCATCCCAGACCTGAAGCACTATACGGTCCCACCAGTCCGTGCTTGTTTCCCGGGCCCAGAATCGCCGTTCCACGATATCCACATGACCCATTGCCACCGTGATGTCCTGGGCGCTGGGGCTCGTGGTTTCTGACAGCTCTGTGCTACTCTCCGACTTCAGGCCATCACGGCGGTGCCGTAGCCTCCTCGCCCGATTTCTCTGCATCTGCCTCAGGGAAAGGTGTATGATAAGCTGCGAGGTGTTGAGAACGGCCAGAAGTGCAGCGATGGTCGCAGCGTGATCCATGATCGCAGTGCTGTGGCGTCCGCGCTGTCACTGACCAGAAAAGTGCACGAACTGATTTCCCGCCGGCGCTTTCATGGAGGGAGGGAGGGCGTTAGTGACGGACGGATGACGACAAATTTTTTTTACCCAGAAGGCATTGGCGGCTCGACCCAGAATTCCGATGGGCAGCGGGGACTGCGGGAACTGTGGGATAGCTGCCCACAGTGCACCGCTTCCAATATCGACGCTCGCCCCGTTAGTGTGGACTCACAAAGTCGAATTACTGTCCTTAGTGTGTCCTTAGTGTGGACACACACGTTCGACTTTGCAATATTGATTCCACATATTCGATTTAAGTAAAATCGAATTACCCTCGTAGTGTAGACATACCCTTAGGAATCACTGGCAGTTCTAGTGATTGCAAGTGTGGAACTGATTCATAACTATTTGTAAAGACACTGTACATTTGTAGTGATTCAATAGTTATGTGTTTTACCTAGGAATATCTTTAAAATCTAAAAACAGCTTAGATCTCCCCCTTGTGGAGTCATTTACTTTGCAAATGAGTGTAAAGTATGTGGAAAATGCAATTTTATACACAGATTGACTTCACATGGTGCAAGACAGTGGAGGAAAATCAGGCTCACTACGAGAAATGTAATAACTATTTGTCTGTTGTATGAGTCCAATCTTGTACGATTGAGGACAATGATAGCTTTGCCAGTGACTTCAATGATCACGAAAATCAATCCCTATATAATCTTTGGAGTAAGGATCCTGGCTCTTCTGAGCCCAGCATTGTGAGAGTGCTACTGGAACATAAAGAAACACAATAATAAAATAATAATAATTAATAACAACAATTAATAATATTTGAAATCTACCTTCGCATAGAATAAGAGATGTTTTATTTTTCTGTTCAAACTACGCTCAGTGCAAGCTATTGTTCCAGGGCGTGGGGCAGCTGCGTAGGAAACTGGGATGGTTTCACAGTGTTAGTGTAAAGGAAAAGTTACGTTTGCACTGTGCATGCCAAGAAGACGATCAGGAATCCATCAAAATTAACATGAATGTTCAGAGCTGCACGGAAGGAAACGGGGGCTGGAAGGTGGCTTGGTTTAGCTATTGCAGCCAGGCAGTTCTGCAGCCAGAGTAGATGGGATTCCCGTTACAGCTGGAATGGACTCTCAGTTCATTTAAAGGTTGCCCCACCCTTCCCCACCACCGGCTCTGTGTGGCTGTGTCTCACCTCTCCTGCCTTGACAGCGGGGAGCCTGCGCTGTATGAGGACAACACTGACCGACATATAGAAGTGGCCCCAGTCCTTTCCGCTCCTTGGGACCGTCTTCCCCGCAGGGTGACGGGCAGTGCTAGGACCCAGCAGAAACCTTCACACCCAGCCTGGGCGGCTGCAGAGACACCTCCCCGCAACTCCCCTAGAAGCTGGAGAAGCCCCCGCTGGAGGGAGCCGGAGAGCTCCCGCCCCCGCCTGCAGGGCGCCGCGGGAGTCCCGCTGGCTGAGGCGCCCTGGGAGCTGCTCCAGCCGCCTCGCGGGAAGCAGCTGGTGCTGGAAGATGGCGAGCCGCAGCCTCCTGCCGCTTCTCCTCGGCACCCTGGGGGCTCTGTGCTGTAAGTGGCGCGTCTCTCCCCTCTCCGCTGCAGCCGGGCCCTGCTGGAGGGCAGGGCGCAGCCCCAGCCCCGCTGCTCGCAGCGTCCTTTGTTCCCCCGGCTGCCGGGGCTCGCTCGCCCCGCACAGCCCGGGGCCGGGGCGGCTGTGTCTCCGGGGAGCCAGCCAAGGGGCGGGGGTTGATCCCCTAGCTGTGCTGGGAGTCGGGACCCTGGTAGTGGCCCTGCCTCACTGCAAGGGGGAAGCAGGGACAGGTCCGATCCCTCTGCGGGCTGGAGCGGGCCCCGAAGCGGGCTGCATCGCGTGCAAAGGGATGCGGGATTTGGAAAGGATGGAGCGGGGCTTATTGCTTGTGGTGGCGGGATATCTTCTGCGCTAGTCCGTAATGCTGTTGGTCGGGCCAGTTTAGGGGGCGAGGAGCTGGTGACTCCTCCAGAAGGTGGCTGGGCTCCTTTCCTTCCAACCTGTTGCTTTAAGCTTCCCTTGGGAGTTCGGCGAAGACGACTTTGCATTGAGGGTGGGGGGTCTCCTTGTTGAATGGAGAGGTGCATCGCCTTGGCGAGAGGAAGGCTTAACAGCAAATGGGATTTCACAGCCCCAAAGGAAAACCTAGACCATCTCTGCCAAGTGTTTGTCCAGTCTGTTCTTAAAAAACCTCTAATGATAGGGCTTCCACAACCCCCCGTGGAAGCCTATTCCCGAGTTTAACTACCTTTACTGTTTTAAAAAAAAAAAAGTTTTTCCTAATCTCTAACCTAAATCTCTGGTGCTGCAGATTAAACCTATTACTACTTGTACTACCTTTAGTGAACACGGACAACAATTGATCACTGTCCTCTTTATAAGGGACCTTAACATATTTGAAGACTATTATCAGGCCCCTCCCAAGTCGTCTTTTCTCAAGACTAAACATACCACATTATTTTAATCTTTCCTCATACATCAGGTCTTCTAAACCTTTCATCATTTTTGTTGCTCTCAGGTGGATTTTTTCCAATTTGTCCACATTTTCTCTAAAGTTTGATGCCCAGAATTGAACACAATACTCCAGCCGAGGTCTCACCACTGAGTAGAGTGAGACCCTTATCTCCCATGTCTTATATGCACCTCAGAATATTAGCCTTCTTTGCAACTGTATATCATCCTTGACTCATTCTGTTTGTGGATCCACTATAACCCTGGATTCTTTTCAAAACTACTAATGCTTAGCCAGTTATTCCCATTTTGTAGCTGTGCATTTAATTTTTTTCTTTCCGAAGTATAGTACTTTGTACTTGTCTTCATTGAATTTCATTTTATTGACTTCAGACCAGTTCTCCAGTTTGTCATGGTTGTTTTTAATTCTAATTCTGTTCTCCAAAGTGCTTGCAACCCTCCCAGTGTGGTATCATCTGCAAATTTTATAAGCATACTCTGTTATCTAAGTCATTAATGAAAATATTGAATAGTACTGAACCCCAGACAGACTCCTGTGAGACCCCACTAGATATGTCTTCCCAGTTTGACAGCAAACCATTGATAGCTACTCTTTGAGTACAATTTTTCATCCAGTTGTGGATCCACCTTATAATAATTTAATTTAGATCACATTTCCCTAGTTTGCTTATGACAAGGTCATGTGGGACTATGTCAAAAGCCTTACTAAAGTCAAACTATATCACATCTACAGCTTCCCCCTCCACTAGGTAGTAATCCTGTCAAAGAAGGAAGTTAACTTGGGTGGTTGTTATTTACCTGGATTTGTCAAGAATAAACAAAAGCTCTTTGAGGCAAGGACTGCCTTTTCTGTGTTTGTACAGCACCTAGCACAATGTGGTCCTGGTCTTTGACTGGGGCTCCTAGGCACTACTACAATAATAATAATTAATAATACCAAACCCTTGCCTGTAAAACCAACCTGTTTGCCTGCATGTTTAGGGTCTCATACTGCACCCATCAATGTGGTAGATTAGGCCTGGTCTATATTACAAAGTTAGGTTGATGTAAATCAACTTGTTTGTGCATGTGTCTCTGACTGATGTAAGTACCCTGTTATGGTGACGCAGTAAATGTCTGTTACTGTGGTCAATAATCCAATACAAATATAATCTTTTCCAATACTGGGTCAGATTCTGCAGTCCTTTACCTCATGTTCCTTCAAATAGTTCTTCATGGGTGGACCTCTGAACTCTTGTGGAGTGCTATTGACTTCAGTAGAGCTTTGGATCAGGCCTCAAGTGCACAAAACTATTATTGTTTTCTTTGAGCCCAGGAGCAAAAGCCAAAATATGTATCCACCTTAGAAATAAAAACAAACAGCTTCAGTACAAATGGGGAGACTCTGTACTGATTAAAAACATAGAACATATTGAAACTATTGTATGTAGCCTGTTAAGTAGGCTTGTTTCAAAGAAAGTTGTTCATTTGCCCCAGTAAGGCAGTTTTCAGGGTGTATTTTACAAAATAAAGAAGCGGTATTGGAGCTGAAATTTTTCTATGTCTGCAGAAAGTTTTAATTTATTATGTAAAACAAAGAAACCCCAAACTTTCCCTTGCAGTTTCAGAAACTTGACACAGTTCTATTGACAGCATGGCTCAAAAGGTAACCCTTTTTTAAAGCAAAACAGAAAGGGATGTAAATCAGAAAAAAAAAATTGCCCTGCCCGAGGGCACACTGAACATAAACATGAGAAGTTGTAACACTGGAAAAGAAATCTTCAGATTAACAGTGTGTATGCAGCAAATTATGCCAAACATCTAATAAGAATGTATCATACATAGAACATATTTTACTGAATACCCTGTATTTTTGTATCATACATTTAATTTGTTTTGGTGTCTTCAACCTCTTCTCATTTTAGTGATTAGATCTGACATCTGTTTCTGAGGTTGTGTGTGGAAATAACATTTTGAACTGAAATGTGTATGTAGCAGAATCTCACTAATTCACAATGGCGACCTAGAGTGAGATAATCTAGCCCAGGTGTGGGCAAACTTTTTGGCCTGAGGGCTACATCTGGGTATGGAAATTGTATGGCGGGCCATAAATGCTCACAAAATTGGAGATTGGGGTGTGGAAGGGGGTGAGGGCTCTGGCTGGGAGTTCAGGCTCTGGGTTGGGGGTGCGTGTTCCAGGATGGGGCCAGAAATGAGGGGTTCAGGGTATGGGTTGGGGCAAGGGTTTGGGGTGTGGGGGAGGGGTGAGGGCTCTGACTGGGAGTGCAGGCTCTGGGATGGGGCTGGGGATGAAGGGTTTGGGGTGCAGGAGGGTGCTCCGGGCTGGGACTGAGGGGTTCAGAGGGTGGGAGGGAGATCAGGGTTGGGGCAGGGGGTTGGGGCACAGGAGGAGGTCAGGGGGGCAGGCTTATCTCAAGCAGCTCCCAGAAGCAGTGGCATGTCTGCCCTCCAGCTCCTCCTACGTGGAGGTGTGGTGTTGGCCGGGTGGCTCTGTGCACTGCCCTGTCCACAGGCGCCTCCCCTGGAGCTCCCATTGGCCACGGTTCCCAGCCAATGGGAGCTGCAGAGCCAGCGCTTGGGGCAGGGGCAGCATGCGAAGACCTGTGGCTGCCCCTACTTGTAGGAGCCAGAGGGAGGACATGCTGCTGCTTCCGGGAGCCGCGCTGAGCCACAACACACGTGGAGCGGGGCAAGCCTCTGACCCTGATCCCTGGCGGGAGCTCGAGGACCAAATTAAAAGGGCTGACAGTTTGTACTCTGATGGAGACCATGTGAGCTTCCTAAGCCGTGAGCTACCCATTGAGAATTTAAAAGGCCTGAAAGAATCCTTGAATGAGAATGAGCTGTGTTCATGGGGCAGTTATAAGGTCCAGGGGAATAAGTGCATTAATCTAGATGTGTAGTGGTAGTGATTGTGGAAAGATACCAATCAGGGCTTTAAATTCAGCCGGCGCTGTGTGAAGCAGAGCTCTAGTAAATATTTTTAAACCCGTGGGTCTAAAGCCCTGAGCCTTGGTGTGCCCCACGGGGCTGAAGCCCAGAACCCTGGATGGGGGTGAGAGGCTATGGGAAATACTGTATGAGAATTTAAGCCTTCGTACCAATGAATCTAAAAGTTTATCAGACCTTTTATAACGTTTCCAAAGTCCGATCAGTCTGATATTTTTTCCTCATGCTGGTGTAAATCAGGATTAACTGTATTGAAGTGAATGGAATTTCATTGGTGAAAACTAGTGAAACATAGGAAAATCAGGCCCTATATCTCCCTATGAGGACTTTACAAAGGCAGTATAGTGTCTTTGGCAAATGTTACAATGCATCATTCTGACCCTCCTAATTCAATTCTGAGTACGTTCAAACACATATTCCCAGGTCTTGGAAAGCTCTAGTGCAGGGGTCTCAAACTCAGTTTACCTTAGGGCCAGTGCCAGTCCTCAAATCCTCCCAGCGGGCCAATAATGTCACTGAAGATGGTGTTCAGAAAAGAAAACGTTTATATTGTATTTTTAATTTCAGATTTCTTAGAAATAATAAAACTGTCATAAAACTTTATACAATTCTTCGCCTGCCAGAGAGTTTTTAGTGTTTGCCAGACACCTGGCAACTCTTCAGTTTTGTCAGTTGGTTGATGTTTGGCCTCAGTGACTAAGCAGTTGAAACCTTAAGGATTGCAGCAAACTGTGCATCAGATAGTTGTGTCCGGTATTTTGACTGACTTTTTTCCCCAATGAATATAAATGACGCTGTCTCCATGGCTGACTCTGCCTGGTGACTAGTGATGGTATCTCTGTCCCTCTCCCCCAGCCAATGGAAGCTGTGGGGGGTGGTGCCTGCAGCAGACATTGCGGGCAGCATGGCTGCATGCATCTCTCCTCTGCGGGCTGCAGTGCGGAGGTTCTTGGGCCACAGATGGCCCGCGGGCTGGGACTTTGAGACCCCTGCCCTAGTGCAAAGGACCATTTTCAAGAATCTTTGACAGGTTTCAAAGTAGCAGCCATGTTAGTCTGTATCCGCAAAAAGAACAGGAGTACTTGTGGCACCTTAGAGACTAACAAATTTATTAGAG